GACAGGATATCATTTCTGGGGCTGGGACTCTGCTTGGCATGTTAGTGTTTAGGAAAATCGTGGTGCCAGGAGCACATGTAGACTAGGGAGGAGGGATTCAGTTTTGGAGAGGCGTAAGAGAATGGGGCCTCAGAGCACTGGTCTCAGCATTGGGCCCATGTGGCCTTTCAGAATGAGGCAATTTGGCTTTCCCTTTGTTGGAGTTCTTTGAAATAAGCTGAAATACAGATACTTCTCTGCTTTTAGGAAAAGAAAGGGATGAGATGGTGCTTTTCCCTTTTGCATAAAATAAGCATGCCAAAGCTGTGGATTCCTGAAAGATCTCAGATTGTTTTTTCTTGCCTAATAATTGACTTTTACAACTCCTGGAGTAGAGAACGCTCTTCTCTTCATTCTGGTGCCAGGAGCACTGTAGATGCATCACTCTTCCTATCTGGTCTTATCAGGGAACTCCATTCAGACAAAACCAACTGACAGAAGGTGTCAGGAGGGAAGGCGATGATCTGGTAGAGAATTAGGAGTTCCACTGGCAGTTCCGCTAGAGCAGTGGCCAGGTGGGAGCAGCTCCTAGATGGACCATCCTACTTCCTATTTTTATGACATTCTCTTCAAGCACAGATTCTTTTTCTACTAGTTACATACCTAGTGGGGAAACCAAGGACAAAAAGGAAACAGAGATGGCCTGAGGGGAGTCTTCAGTGAATCATCTTCTTGTTACCATCTCCCACTTTGCTCACAGTCCTGGCTTCAGGATAACAAACTCCCTCTGCCTCTGGGTCTCCTAGAAGTAACTACTGACTCTTGTATATCACAAAAGACCCTGTGGGGCCACCCCAAAATTCTACCAAATATTCATTGAGGCAGCCTGTCAACTTAGGCTCTGGCTAACAGGAAGATGTGAACTGTTGTGCCCACCACTCTGTTTTCTTCTCCAAAATATTTTTGGAGAAATATGTACATATGGATGTAAATTTGTGCATTTTTAAAAGATTCAGATCCCAGTTATCTTCCAGTAGTGATGTACAAATTTATTAATGCTACATGTCACTTTTTTAGTTTCCAAATAACAACAGCTAAACATTTTTGGTTTAGTATTTGAAATATTTTAGTGCAGTAAAAAGGACATTTAATTTTTGATCAAATAAAATTAGTTTTGGTCCTGTCTCTGTCACTTGCTAGATGTGACTGTGAGTCACTTGCTCAGTTTTTGGTCTTTAAGGGAAGATACTGAAATCCAGCTCATAGATTTGTGGTACAGTTTAATAGGATTGTTACATGATCAGTGGTTGGAGCATAGTAGACATCCAAAGGGAGACAGTTTGAATCTCTATTTTTTTCTTGGCATAAGCAGCAGTTCTCCTGAGTGCAAAGAAAGACCATAAGAAGTGGAAAGAAGCAAGGTTACTCCCATATAGAAGCCACACCTTGCGATTTCTCCATTTGACATTGTATGTGAACCTCTACTATGACAGTCACACTTCAGTAGAGGTTTTCATAATCAGTCTGGAAGAATATATTCCAATTTTAGAAGAGGACTTTTTCCTTGAGGAAAGTTGACTCTATATTTCCAAATGCTGGTAATTAAAAATAGTAGAGAACTGGATACAAATGATTTTTGTGGAGGACACATATGAGTGTATTATTCTTTTAAGATACCCATGGTCTCTAAATGTGATTTCTGGAGCTGGGGGCAGTAATACAATAGAAGAGATATGCTCACTTTATTTACTTTCTTTTTCTTCTAAACTCAGTTTAAATACAAGATAAGGTGTTAAAACAAGTTTAAATTTAATGAACGTTGACATATAACAGAAGGTAGTTGTAAGCAAGAGATGAAAAAATTATTCTTAAAATTTTAAGATGATGTGGTCCGAATGTTTGGCTTCAACACCATCACCATCTTTTAAGTTACATCATTTGATCTGATTTTTCTAACGATGAGCTATCATAGTTCAGTGTGGTGTTGAGTGATTTCATAAATCATATTCATGATCTGTTTGTTCCCTCTGTTCTTCCCAAGAATGTGGCTTTGATGAATAAACAAGTTATAATGTGCTTGCTTCCATCACATGTACATCCAAAGTTATAAAATCGCAATGTTACACAAGCTCAGAGTTGCACCGTGGAGATGGTGCTGGCTTAAATGAAGTTGGTCTGTCAGCCCTCATAGTACTAGACTGAGAAGTCAGAGAAGTCTCCCGAATGAGGTGATTCTGTAACTTCCCTTTTAAACATATTTTGTCTTGTTTCTGTTTAATGAGGTAGAGAAAGCATGCCTTGGGGTCCTTCTCAGGATATGTGGGGGCTGTGCAGCTGCAGCTGCTGTGACCCTAGCTTGTGGTTAAAGGGTACTGAAAAGCAGGTGTTGGATGGATGCATTTTGTGCCCAGGTATGATTGGTCACTGCTCACAAGTAGATGTCTTATTAAAGTCAAAACCCAGAGTGGAGGCAATATTTACCCTTTTTAAAATCACAGGAAAATCAGATCATCAGAAAAGCAGCCACATCTACTTTAGTCAGAGGGAAAAGGAGACCTCTGGCAGCTTGCATCTGCTTTCCTGTTTAGTCCTGCAGTGCTGGAAATGGCTCAGACTGGCTCACCAGAGCCAATTGTGTGTTTCTCTCTCCAGCCCCATGTCTATGACATCATGTGGTAACTTGAAATTGGCCATTGTGGGAGTAATTTACACCACAGAAATTGGCAAATGTGGCAAATTTGCAACTCAATGGTGAATTTTATAGTTTCCTTTGAGGAAAGTAAGTAGAAATAATTATTTTATTGATAATTAAATAGAAGTTTTTAAGTAAATTAAAGTGCTCAAAATGGTAACTAGATGCCTGGCAGATAATCAAGTCAATTATCTGGTAATTTATATGCCAAATGTAGTAATTTATACCCCAATTCATACACATACCTGTAAATGTAACATATATAAATTGGACTACCCAATTCTTTTCCTAAAAACCAGCATATAGCTGACAAATTAGTACCTCTCTGGTACTTATTTTAAATAATGTAGCACACTCATTCACAAGTCAGCAGACACACATAATTAAGGCTCTGTAGTACTTATAAAAATATATGAACCAAGAAGAAAATATGAATCAGGAAACTAAGTATCCATCTGAGCAGGCTTGCCTTACTTTTTGAAAATCTACCTAACACAAGAATTTTCAAAGCAATATTTTTAAGCTTCTTTAACAAATCTAGTCATAAAAACAGTAAAACCCAAACCCAAACGGGAGCATCTCCATCACATTATACGTAGCTTCTCATCATCAGTTCTACCAAGTATCGTTGTTTGAATCACTGGGTCGGTTAGGAGCTGTCTTTGGAAAAAATAATTTTTATCTTTTAATTCACATGTAATTTACTTTGGGATAAGAACAGATATTCTGTTATTTATAAAAATACAGCTACTGCCATCAGAATGGGAAGCATCCTACTTGTAAATCGAGACCATCCATAGATGAGTAGTATTGGCTTGGACTATATAAAAGATCAAGGATAAATAAAATTCTTGTTCAACAGTCTGGGGAAGAAGGACTCTTGCTACTATTGCTGGGCACATGAATCTAAGGATAGTTGATTTCTCCCGTTGTTTATTCATCAGATTAACAAACATTTATTATATATTTCCATGTCAGCGTATATTGCCTTCATTATCTTACAAATTCAAACCCCTGAGACTATAAGAAGAGGCCCCCCAGAAGACAGGGTGGGTTAATCAGCCACTGGTTGCTGGGAGCACTCAAGGTCTCCAGATTGCCTCTGGTTCCCTTGTGCCCATGGCTCTGACACATTGGACCATACTATTGGACCATACTCTCTTCCTGCCAACATAGCAGTGATTGGGTATCCGCAGGTATTCCTGCCTTTGTTCATTCAAATAGACTTAACAGTCCTGTGCCTGCTCTGAGCAAGGTGGTGAGGCAGTGAATGGCAGGGATCTTCATTTATCTGGGAAGTTCAGCTTGTGGTTATAGTGGGTGGGCAGTTTTGGGTATAGAACAGTCATTCTCATAATCAACTCCATGATTTTTTCAGCTGGGACTGATACCATTTTGCTTTATCTGGGAAACATTTGTTCCCTGGGATTGATAACCAAATGCCAAATGTTTTCTTTGATATAAGGAGGCTGGTTCTTAATGGGATAGGGAGAGGGAGCATGGGAGGAGTAGATGAACTCTAGATAGGGCAGAGGGGTTGGAAGGGAAGGGAGGGGGCATGGGGTTATTAATGATGGTGCAATGTGATGATCATTATTATCCAAAGTACAGGTATGAAGACATGAATTGGTGTGAATATACTATGTGTACAACCAGAGATATGAAAAATTGTGCTTTATATGTATAATAAAAATTTTAATGCATTCCACTGTCATATATAAATAAAAAATCCATAAATTTAAAAAAATTATTTTTGCCCATTGAGAGGTACTGCAAGAAATAGCAGGCTAGGAACAATGTTATGTATAGTCTTTGACAGACTCCTTGAGTCACCAACTCCTTATTTTCTCTATGAGAATTATCATTTTAATGTTCAATAGAGAAAAAAAGACTTTTGGAGGGGACAGGAGATTACTGTTGTTTGCAAAATCAGGGACTGTCCACAAGACTTCTGAGGATTTGGAAAGGAGTTAGGATCAGTAAGGGAAGGCCAGGACTCAGAGTCCAGACACATGAAGAGTGTTCCTGATGAAGTGCTAAAGGATGGTTGTCATTTGCATTGGATACCCATTTTTCAGCTTCCATTTGGTTATTTAAAAATACCAGAATGGGCCAAACTGGGTGGATTCTCAAATCAGATTCCTTCTGATAATGGAAGCTGGCAGATGGTCTAATTTGGGATATGGACCAGCACTCCACGTGGGGAAACTGTATCACTCACTTTTTTTCCATTAAAACTCTATATTCTGGCCATTTACATGGGTTTTCTTCTCCTTTTCTCCATCTCCCTTTGTATCTGGTATGTCTCCCTTTGATTCTTCTTTCCCAGGCGTGTTTGATAACTGCACCCACACAGTCAATGATAAGGGATGGGCCCTGGGGATCCGCACAGGGAAGGACAAGGGAAGGCAAGACGCTCGCTTCTTCTTCTCCCTCCGCACTGATCGTGTGAAGAAAGCCACCATCGTGACTGGCCACAGCCGCTACCAACCAGGTACATGGACACATGTGGCAGCCACTTACGACGGACAGCGCATGGCCCTGTATGTGGATGGCACCCGGGTGGCTAGTAGTCTAGACCAGTCTGGACCCCTGAACAGCCCCTTCATAGCTTCTTGCCGCTCCCTGCTCCTGGGGGGAGACAGCTCTGATGACGGGCACTATTTCCGTGGACACCTGGGCACTCTGGTCTTCTGGGCAACTGCCCTGGCACAAAGTCGCCTTCAACACAGTCCACAGCATCCCAGTGGGGTGGAGGAGTTGACCACCCTAATCCTGACGGCCAGTTTTGATCCTCTGAAGGAACAGTGGGTCCCCTTTAGGGATGAGAAATATCCCCGCCTGGAGGTTCTCCAGGGCCACCAGCCAGAGCCTGAGCTCATGTCACCGTTGCAGCCCCCACTCTGTGGGCAAACTGTGTGTGACAATGTGGAACTGATCTCCCAGTACAACAGACACTGGCCCCTTCGGGGAGAGAAGGTGATCCGCTATCAGGTGGTGAACATCTGTGATGATGAAGGTGGGCATCCCATTGTGAGCGAGGAGCAGATCCGCAGGCAGCACGAGGCGCTGACTGAGGCCTTCAGTCGCTACAACATCAGCTGGCAGCTGAGCATCCACCAGGTCCACAACTCCACCCTGCGCCACCGGGCTGTGCTTGTGAACTGTGAGCCCAGCAAGATTGGCAACGACCATTGTGACCCTGAGTGTGAGCACCCGCTCACCGGCTATGATGGAGGTGACTGCCGCCTACAGGGCCGCTGCTATTCCTGGAACCGCAGGGACGGGCTCTGTCACGTGGAATGCAACAACATGCTGAACGACTTTGATGATGGGGACTGCTGTGACCCCGAGGTGACTGATGTACGCAAGACCTGCTTCGACCCCGACTCACCCCACAGGTAAGGAAGTGGGCTTGGGTGTCCTCTGTATGGTGGGCGTTTCCAACATTGTTCTGCCCTTTGGCTTCACACTTTTTTTTTTTGGTACTGGGGATTAAACCCAGGGGCACTTTACCACTGAGCCATGTCCCAGCATTTTTCTTTTTCTTTTTTGAGACAGGGTATGGATAAGTTGTTTAGGGTCTCACTAAGCCACTCTTTCATACTTTATTGTGCTTTTAGGAAGGACTAGGTGTCATGTTAGGCAATTAGCGCCACAGAAGACAAGGGACAGTCTTCACAGAACTCAGGATCTGTGGAGCAGACAACTGTGTAGCATGTACCTGAGGCACAGGGGAGTGGAAGGACTCGCTCTACCTGACCAGGCCAGGATCTCAAGGAGAACAAACACGGCAGGTCATGATAGCAACCAGTCAATGCACTCCCTTAGGCGGTTCTTCCTGTGGTCACAGGGTCTTACCAAAGTCAGACAAATCCACGGAAACATCTCACAACTGCTTGGTCTTTGGTGAAGTTTGAGCAGTTCAGTGCATTCATGGGCACAAGCGTACTTTACACCTGGCCTCAGGTTCCCAAAGTCTTCTACTGTTCCCTGGTAATTTCCATTTGCCATGTGGCATCTACAGGGATCTTTTGTAGAGGGAAAATCAGATCCTGTAATTCCCCTTCTGACTTTTTCCTCACTGCACTTAATACCTAAATCCTCCTCTGGCTCACAGATCCTGCTGCGATCGGGCCCTTTCTACATGGCCAGCTTCTTCCTCTCTATCACTTTCTTTGCCCACATGGCACAGCCTTGCTGGCTGTTCTGTTCTGTTCTGTTTAATAGATGAATCTTCTTCCCACCCCCAAGGCTTTACCTTGACTATTCTTTTTGGAATTCTCTTTTCCTTGATCTTCCCTTGATGGGTTCTCTCTCATCATTCTAATATCTACCTGATCTACCTTCTACCTCCTGGGGTAGCCTTTCCCAACCCCCCAGTCTAAAGCAGCTATCCAATCATTTTTTTTTGTGGGGGGGGGGGTTACCAGGGATTGAACTCAGGGGCACTTGATCACTGAGCCACAATCCCAGTCCTATTTTGTATTTTACTTAGAGACAGGTCCTCACTGAGTTGCTTATCATCTAATTTTAACCACCTGCCCAACACCACTTCAGATGTTTTTTCTATGCAATCATGTGTTTTTCTGTCTTTCCCGTTTGGATTGCTGATTCCATGAGAACAGGGGCCTTGTCTGTATTGTCTCTATGTTCCCAGTGCCTTGAACAGCCACCAATGTGGAATTATTTGTCTCATGTTTATTTTGATGAATGAATGCATCAGATTTATCTTCTGTTCTGAGACAGAAATAGATAAAAAGCTTCTCATTTGGTGTCTGATCCAGAGGCAGGGGGGTGGGTGTTGGAGAGAGGTTGGAAAGGAGGGAGTTAGGCAGTAAACCTGTTAATCTGTCTATGTGGACAAGGTGTCTCTAGTACAACTGGTACCTTTGTTGGAATTATGAAAAGGAACACCTAAGCTAAAGTGTAAGGCTGGCAGGTGGCAGGAGGACTGGCTCACAGCTCCCAGGGCCTGGCTGGCTGCCTTTCTGTTGGACGTGATTTGTTCAGTAGTTCATGGTGTCTGTATCCACGGGCAGTCCTCCTGCTGTCAGTTAATATTAACAGACTGGCCTGTGGCTCAGGCACATGGTGTTGAGGACAGAGTGTAAGATTTGGAATCAAGGAACACAGTTAAATCCTAGAGCCCTTGCTACTGAACTGGTATGCAAGTTACAAAGGCACTTTTTGAAATTCAGGAGAGTTGCCTGCAAAATGGGGGTGACTACAGTCATACTTTGTATTGCTATTTATCTTAAGTTGTTTTGTGAATCAAATGAAATAAAGCACAGGGAAGTTTTACCTCTAAAATTTTCAAAATTTTCATTAGTTAGTATTGTTAGAACTGACAGATGGAAAGTCTTTGGTTACATAATAATAATGCATAGGGAATTGATTACATTACAGAAATAGTTGCTTAAGAAAATTCTCTTTGGGTTTGGGTTTTAGATTTTGATAATCTTGAGCATAAGTTAAACCTCACCAATAGCAGTGGTTGACAAGTCTTAGGATCCCCAGGGAGATAGGAAAATTGGGCCTGTTCCCAGTTTTCCCCCAGCTCATTATAACAACCCACTGCTGTCCACCACTATAAGGAAACACCTGAGATAATCCCCTTCTAAGGAGAAAAGGTTTGCTTTGACTCATTGTTCTGGAGGTTACAGTCCAAGATTAGGTGGCCTTATCACTTGGGGCCCCCTACAAAGAAGCATATCATTGAAGGAGTGTGTGCCTGAGCAAACTGCTCACCTCATGAAGCAGTAACCAACAAAGGAAGAAGAAGAGACCAGGGTCTCACAATCCCCTCTGAGGGCATACCTGCAATGGCCCCCAGACCTTCCACTAGGCCCTGCCTTCAAAGGTTCCACCACATCCCAATAGCACCACCCTTGGGATCAAGCCTTTAACACAAGGACCTCTGGGGACACCCATCCAGACTACAGCAGTCTTTCAGGGTACACAGACATCATTTTCCTCAGGGTGGCCCTTTCCCTCTGCATTGTCCTTATCTGAGTGTTTACAATTCACTCCCCTCACTGCCTCTGAGTTGCCATGAGGGCTCGTCCCATTCTATCTGTAAAGCCAGAAGGCTTGTGAACATTTCTTCATATAGACTTTATTATCCTGACACAGAATATCTGCTTTGTGGAATTAAAGAAAATATATGATTTATTTTTGGTGGTACTGGGAATTGATTGAACCCAGGACCTTGCACATGTTAAGCATATGCTGTACCACTGAGCTATACTCCCAGTCCTAAATATTTATGTTTTGAGTGTTAAAAATATTAATAAATGCTTATGATAAAAAATACCAAGTCGTACCTAAACATTTAGGAAGAACAAGAGACTCCTGCCTGATTCTCCCCCATTCTTTTCCACTCTCTAGCCTTGATGTCATTGGTCGGCAAATATAATTCTTTTACCTATCTCTTCTGTTGGTTACCTACATATCTCCAAATATATTTATAATGTTTAATTCATCAATATTAAAAATTGACTTGATCTTATGATACAGATGAGACCAACTCTCTTAAATTGTCTCTCTCTTTCTTTCAATATTTCCAATCAAATTATTTTTTTACTTTTAGTTGAGTCAGTATAGTCATCCATTGGTATCCCTAGGGAATTGGTTCCAGGACACGGGAATCTGCAGATACTCACATTCCCCTATACAAAAGGCATAATATTTGTGTATAATATACACATATCTCTAGATTACTTTTAATACCTGATACCATGCAAATGTCATATAAATAATTTATTGTATCTGTTGTAAGAATAATGACAGGAGAAAAGTTTATACATATTCAGTGCAGATACAACTTTTTCTCTACTATTTTTGATCCACTCTTGATTGAATCCACAGGTGTGGAACCCCTGGACATGGAGGGATGTCTGTATGTGTATTAACATTACAGCAGCGATGTAGAACAAAATGTCACCCTATTTTCATTCTTGCACAACCTCTTCCCATCCCCTATCCTATACGTGTGTCTCTTCTCCCTTCTTACTTCTTTTCTTTCCTTCTTCCTTTTCTCCTTCCTTATTTTAGTCTTCCTTGATACCCTTAATTGTTTCCAAATGCTTTATCACACAATCTAATTGTATCTTTTTTTTTATACCAGGAATTAAATTCAGGGGCACTAGATCACTGAGCCACATCCCCAGCCCTATTTTTGAATTTTATTTAGAGACAGGTCTCACTAAGTTGCTTAGGGCCTCACCATTTCTGAGGCTGGTTTTGAACTCTTGATCTTCCTGTCTTAGCCTCCTGAGCCACTGGGGTATAGACGTGCCTGGCAGGGTTTTTTTTTTTTTTTTTTTTTTTTTTTTTTTACACACTTAACCTGAAGCTTTCCCTTCTAGATCTTCTATTTTATTTTTCTAATATTGATTGGCCAGTTATCTTTAGGTAGGCTGCATACTTGTTCTGGGACTTCACTAATTTTTTGAAATACAGCCAATGTGTCCTGAATTACATGAATTTCTCTGAATTTACTACCTTATTTTACTGGAAAATACCCTTACGTAACTTTCTAAGAAAAGATGTTTTGGGCAAACTTCTCTGAAAATGACTTATCAAGAGTGTTTTTATTCTGCCTTTACAAAAAAACTGATAATTTGTCTTTGTATAAAATTCTGATTTAAAAAACATTTTCCCCAAATATTAAAGAAATTAATTTCCTCTAGAATCTATTCTGATAATTTATTATTTGGTCTTTTAAAACATGTATTCACGCATTTTTCCATTTTGGAATCTTAAATATTATCCTTAGCCTCTTACTTTAGGGATCCCATGATAACTTTTCTAAGGGCTAACCTTTTTCTCTTCTATGAGCACTCAGTGTGTTTCTTCAGTTTGGACAACTGTGACCCTTATCTCTGAAAATTTTTCTTAAGTCATTACTTTGATATTTTTTAATTCTCTTTTCTTTGTTCTATATTTTCTCCTTGAGACACCTGGGGATGAATCTCCTGAATTAATTACCTTACTTTTTTCTCTCATGTTCTATCCTTTCTTATTTTGTTCCTTTTTTTTTAATATTTCCTTGATTTTGTTTTCCAATTATTTTATTTATTGTTAAAGATATATGCAAAAATATATAAATATATACACATATATGTGAATAGTTATATTTACATGTTAATGTGTATATGTAAATTTTTTGACAGTTCTGGGTATAGAACCCAGGACTTCGTGCATATTACACAAGTGTTCCACCACTGATATGTACTCCAGTTCACAAACATTTTAAAGACATGGTTTATCTTTTGATTTTTTTTTTTTTAGTATTAGTCTATTTTTATTTGAATGATGTGAACTTTTGTGAGGATAAAAATAATACTAAAAAATTTTCCTACCTACCTTTCAGCCTGGTAAACCATGAACCATGTCT